CAATGAAATGTATTTGAAGCATAAAGATAAAGGGGTTAGTGCATTTATGATGTGCTGGCATAGTAGTTTGGGGTTTCTTTTGGTTTGAAGAGTTTAAAAACTAAATTTTTTCACACTGTTAAATTTCATGAGTTACAATGAGAATCTATATTTTTTATTATTTATTTTATTCATGGCACAAATCCAATGGACTCTGGATAGTGTATAAAAATATAAAACAAAGCCTAAACATGGCTAAAAACATTGAATCAGATGTACGGCTCCAACTAAAACGATGTAATAAGCAGCAACATCTACAAAATAGGGACCTTAAACAAATAATAAACATTGTCCCCAGATCTGCAACCAAAGCCAGGTTTTCAAGCTTTCCAGACTTATAGGAAAAAAAGTGCCACCCTTGTCTCTGAGGGAATGCTGGTCCAGAGGATGGGACCAAAAGGCATGCTTCCTAGGTCCTACAATTTAACAATGGGGAGCTGGAGCACACTCATTTTGCTGGAACATACTAGTCAGGCAGAAACAATTGGAGATAATCAATTTTTCAGATATCCATTTAAAAGATTAAACATGCAGATATTACTCAGGTTATTTATTTGAATATACTAGAAAGCAAGCCATTACAATAAAATTAATTAGTTGAATTTATGATCATAGCTTTTCTATCTATTGATTGTAGAATCTGTGATGGAAATACTCCACATATAGCTAGCCTTGTTTAGAAAAATAGCATAAATCTATCCAGATATCTAAAAATAGTGCAATTATTTGAAAAGTAAATTATTCAAGAAATTATTGTTTTGTAATACAAGCAAGTTGTTGAATGGTACTTTATTTTTATTTATATATTCATAAATGAAAAAAACCCATAGTTTTGGCATACATACTATGTTTGTTTTACAATCTTTTAATATACTCCTGGGACCCTTCAAATTGATTCTGGAAGTATGTTATTGATACCCTAGGGAATTTATAAATTAGCATCTTGGTGAAGCATCAGCTTACTTTCCAATGTTTCTGGTATCTAGTTTAGATCTGAAATTTTGTGCTGCAAATGATAGAAATCAAACACTATTATAAAACAAATTCCCAAACAAATGCTCAGCCATTTGTTAAAATAAACATTTCTGAGCAAAATAAAATGTTCTGATCTTTCCAAGTCTGAGAATTGTAATGCAACATTAGCTTTTATTAATACATTTCTCACTTTGGAATGATTAACTATTCTATCTAAATTGACCCATTTTGAATGATAGCTGTACATCTTGAATAAATCTTTAAAACCAATAATAGTGCATGAGCCATATTTTTAAAGCAGAACGTTTTAAGGCATCGTGCTTAATTTATTACTTGCCAAGCAAGTAAGATTATATTGTGGTTTTGAAATAAGGAACACTTAGATTTTCCTAGCCACAATTCTTAATTAGTTTGCTAAGAGGGAGCTTCTTAAACATGTTAATATATGCTTTTGGTATAATGCATTGAATTTAGGTATAAAACAACATCTTAGAAAATATAAATAAACAATGATTTTTACAGTTCTACTGTAGTTGTCTTTAAAAAGAATTAGGTAGATATGCTATCACTTAAAGTGTATAAAGCTGTTTGAAAGAATTGAATTTATGAAAGTAATAGGTAGTAGATTTAACTTTGTTAAAAAAAGATAACATTGAAATATAAAATAATGTAACTATTGTCTACTATCTCTCTTCCTATCCCAGCCCAGTGTGCTAATTGTAAGCTACAAAGAAACACTAAAAGCTGTGTCGCAATTTGGACATTATGACCAAGCTGAATGGAAGCCTGACAGTACCACGATAGCTGTTTCGGTAAGTAAAGAAACTTGTATAGAGACATTTTATGACTCTAATAGGCATTTCACATAACATTTTATTGAAACAGATAAAAAATTAATTAAAAAATAAATTTAAAATGTAGAGTGAGTTGGTATCTATATTTTNATTAACTTCTGATAATTGTTCATGTCTGTACTTTTCTGTGAGCTGTCTTCTGAACCTCTCTAAATTTCCAGTTTAACCAGGAAAAAAAACCATTGCAAGAAAAAACATTTGCAACACACAGGAAAAACCCAGGCAATTTGCCTCATATTGTCTAGCAAAAATGCCCACCATAGCAATAAGAAACAAAATGGGCATGTAGGCACACATATAAAGTAAACACACATTACAGCAACCCAGACAAAACATTTCAAAGACCAAATATTCTCTTGTATTGGTAAAAGCCATTCCTGTGTATTCTCTGCTACCTCTAGCTTTTTTTCCTGCCCATTTGCTATATATATGTTGCCCATATACACATGAATAAAGACAAACAAGGTAGGGTGGTAACCTCAGAGGAAACAACTTCTACATTCAAGTGCTTTATAAGCGCTTTATCTTTGTGATTTTCAAAAATCCAGTGTGAGCTTGAATTTTTTAAATTGATCCATAAGAAAATTGGTTAATATATAACATATGATTATATATATAGGCATTTTGTTTGTATGCTTATTACAGTGCTCTGCTATGACTCTGTAATTTCCTGCCATTGCCAATGCATATTTAATGAGCTGTACTGTACAACACATGAAACAAAAAATAAAGCATATTTCTGAAAAAATTCACTTGCAAGCAAATTGTATAAGAGAATTTTACATTAGAATTTGTATATTGTATATTAGAATTTTACTATAATTTCTATTGAAGGAGAAAATAGTGAAATGAAGTACAAGTATTTCTGATTGGGGGAAGTCATTACAGTAGTACAGGCAGTAAACACTGCTCTTCTTAAATGCTGCAGCCCTCTTTTCCCATTATGCTGCTTTCCTCGGCAGCTTATCTTCTGCAACAAGTTGCCATTAGTTACTGCCAAATGTTATAGGCAAGGTTGTGCTTTAAACTCTATATCAGCCTTTCCCAATTGATGCCTTCCAGGTGTTTTGGATTATAGCAACCATTGTTCTTGACTGCAGGCCTTAAATGGCAATGGAAGTGGAGGAAATGGTAATTGTAATTCAAAACAACTGGAGGGTACCAGATTTAAACAGTTTGAAGTAATATTATTGCAACAGCATATGCCACAATACCAGTATCTTAATATTGCATATCTTCATTTTAAGATATGACCTTTCAGCTGAATTCCTATCATTGAAATGTATTTGAAGCATAAAGATAAANATAAATACATGCCAATTGCCAAACATCTAAATTTTGATCACACAAACAGTGGTCATAAGTGTGAAAAAGGGTCATAAGTCATTTTTTCAGTGCTGTTGTAACTTTGAATGGTCACTTAACTGAATGCTTGTAAATTGACAACTACCGGTAGTTGTAGTGGCTAGAGCATAGGGAAAAAATAATTTCAAGAAGCTGTTCACTTTTTTAAAAAGTAGTAGAATTGCATTCTCAATATTCTCCTAACTTATATCTACATTTGAGGCATATTCCTCTTGATTATCCATTTTGTATACATGTGTCACTTATGAAAAGCATTTTAAGTTTGCATCTGAAATTTTCATAAATTTGAGTTTATTTCATACATTTCTTATTCCGTTGGATATCCGATTCCATGGAAGGAGTAGGACGTGCTGTTTATGTAAATTATATAGAGATGTGTTTAGAAAGAACCAACTAACAGAAATGATGAAAATAATTGAGTGGGTTTAAATTTTGTGTAAGAGTGAAATATCTTTCAATAACAACTTAGTAATGACATTTCTAATACAGTATAGTGCTGTATACTCAAATTACTATATACATATGGTGCCCATTCCTTAAATATTTCTGTAATTGAATTTTTTAAATATCTTTTAATGTCCCATCAATCTGTTGATCTAAATTTAGCATCGACACATTTATTTTATAAAGTCCAGAAAGGAAGTTGAATTTTAGTTGTTCCATATGCTTCTAATTCAGTTCATATCTATGATGCAACATTATTTTGCAGTCGCAGTCTGTTAGTTCCAGTAGTAATATCTTTGTAAGCAATGGTTTCAAAATGGTCAAGTTAGTGTAAGTCTACAATTCCCTGCAAAGTTATCATTCAAAATAGCAAACTTAAACATATTTATTATACTACTACATATGATTGCATTAGAGTGTCATCTGCCTGAGACAAGCAATGTGTTTTTATATAAGATTTGGTGTTCTATCGAAAACATACCGGTAATACTGGAAGGAAATTCAGAAAACAGTGATTAAAATTAAATGATTGGAGAACCTTCTCTTGGGGTTTCTTAATTTACAAAAAAAGTAGAGGTAGAGTAATAAAAGAAGAGAAATTTAAAAAGTGAATATGAAAAAAATATCATATATAATACTAGAACTGAAGATTAGTGACTCAAATGCAATGGAAGGTATAAGATGAAAAGGAAAATATATAATTATCTACAGTTCAATTTTTCAATGCGTATTAATCATCCACATGGCGTTAAACAATTTAGAATACAGTTCTACATATACTTACTCAAGAATAAACACTGAGCTAAATACCAGAATATCAATTTCTAAATGAACGAGGATTGAATTATGCCATTACATACTAACCTTGGGTTGGCTGTTAGTTGTAAAAGATGAATATAATTTATTTTTGTTTATAATTTATAATTTATCATTCTATTTTTCTGGTGAGGAGGGCAAGTTTATAATGCATTTGCAAACATGTAAAATGTATTTATCTAGTACATATAAGGGTTTTGATGATGTAATAAGATTGTTCTTATTTTCTTAAATCCAGTGTAATATGTGCTTTTGATTAGGTTCTTTATGCAAATACAGAAGGCTTTGTTATCATCAATCTTGTTCTAGTATTTCACATATGCATAATTTTTTAGAAGTTTTCTGTATTTTATATGTCCAAATCCCAATAGTTCTGGATATATTACCAACTTTTATTTTGCTCTTCATCCTGTCCTAATGACTTCACATGAAGTTGTGAATTCTCCTTTGATAGAATCTTCAAACAGAAGTTGGATGGTTATTGTCAGAGTTGCTGTAATAGAGTCTGTTTTGAGATGGTGTTGGGTTGGATGACAACTAAGCCTCTTTCCAACTCTGATTCTAGGAGTAGATTACCAGCTTGTATAGATAAATGTTTTTTAGAAAATGCCTAGTTTTATACATGTGTCTATAAACATCAAAGGTATCAATACTTATTTGTAATGTGTGTTATGTAAATATGGCATCAAAATGGTAAATAATTTTCAATATTAACAAGAAGCATTGCTGGGAAGCTAATGTTTTCAATTTCTGATATCAGATTAGAAATTGCCCTTTTTAATTGCAATTGGGATGTTATTAACAATGGAGCTATTTTATGTATATGCTTTGTTATATCCACTAGATAAAATATCACTGAAATGAATTAGATCCAGAGGCTTCTGTCATTAAAGTAAGAAATGGAAGCAATATCTAATAATGATTTTGGGCCCATTACATAGGAACACTGCCTTGAGTTGTGGGATTTAAACAATTGAAAAGAGGAATCTTTTCCATTTCTTTGGAAAAAGACAATAAGATTATGACTCTATTAAAATCTAAGACAGTAGAGGGAAAGGAATAGGGTCAGTGCAAGAGCTAAATTAAGATACTTAATATGACGTTCAAGTTTCAGTTTCCAACCCTTTTGGGCCAGTAGGTGGATTTGGAACTGGGCCATAGTTGAACTAAATAAAGGGGCCAACATCAGAGAACTATTAACAGATCACTAAATACTGTTGTAATGAGCATGGTGTGTGCCATTTTTTGAAGTCAAGGTGTTGAGGCTAAAGATAATTTAGCAGAATGGTTCTAAACTGTATGAGTCATAACTACAAATACGCAGAAGATACGAAAAGCTTGTTAATAATCAGTAGCATCTTCAGATAACTATAGCTGTTAGAGGAAAAAGTTTGTTAGGCTTATTCTCTATTCCACCTTTCTTTCAGAAGCTTATTTCAGCCTGCTACATTCCAAATTATTTCAGAAGTAACTCCCATAATGGAACAAAGCATTTAGTGAGCTTGTGGGTACTCCCCTTTCTATGTTTTAATTAACTCCTGCTGCTAAGACACTAAGTCATGCATGGGATAAGGCAAGAGTCCCTTCATTCATGATGATTCTTACCTAGTTACAGTTTAAAGCTACTCGGTACCGGGATCACATTGGGATTTGTGGACCTATCTGCATGTCTTTCAAAGTTCCTCCACTTTACCAAGGGTTTTACAGTTGTTTGCCTCAGGATTTCTATAGTGAGAAGATCTCTTCCTCTGAGCGTGCCTGTTTCTGGGATGCTGGTGGTTGAGGCTACTAATTCCAAAGCTGTGGCTAAATAGGACAGCTGTTATCCCATTTAGAGACTAAGAGGAGCTCATTTCATGTGGCAGGTTGTAGTTGCTTTCATTGTACATTGCCTTTATTTAGCAATTTAAAACTCCAGTTCAACAGAGCCAGAGTTGGAGAAAAAATACAAATTCTTACAATTTGTATGTCATTCTACTGAAGACAGTTGGATTTGAAAGTTATAGATATTAAAACAGGATCCCTGAAAGATCCTATTCCTCTTACAGAATTATTTTCTTACCTACAAAAACCACTCCTTATATTTTTCTTTACCAATTATGTATTATTAATAACAAGCTTTTCTTCCATTTTTGTTGAAATTTTGGTAAGTGGAAAAAGGATTTTCTATGCAATCTAGTAGTTTCACAAGTCCCTCCATAGCACATTTTCCATTTTTTCCATTTTTCAGGTACACTATTCATGTTTATGAAATCCATACCATTCAGGGGGCATTGCAAGATTGATCCAGGGTTTATAATGAACTCTAACATGTTAAGGTCCCTCAGTAGTGCTGAGCTGACTTTCCCTTAAATAAAACTGTTCTATTACCCTTTCCCTACATATNTTGTTGTCTTAGGTGACATCTGTGAAAAAAATTCAGGTGCTCAGGCATGAAAATGTGCTGCTCAAACACTTTACTTTTTTGCTCACACTGAAAAAAAATTAGAGGGAACATTGCTTACAAGTAGACCTTGAGTTATGATCACAGTTGGCACTGAAACTGCTGTCATCAGTTGGTGTGGTCATACACCGAGACGTTACATGATCACACTGACTAATGACAGCAATCCTGTTGCTTCACATTGTAGTCATTAACTGAGAATTGTGGGTCATTAAGCAAGTATCCATTCCAATCAAGACATTCTGGCCTTGGTCCGTCAGCTTTTCCAGTAACATGCAACCATAGGGTTACATGGGGGCATTGCAATGGCTATAATTTTGGGCATGGATCATAAGTCTCTTCATTCAGTGCTACCATAATTTCAAATGGTCACAGAAAAATGGTTGTATCCGAGGACTACCTGTTTTCATTTTTTTCCCTTGAGTACAACATTCCATATGTTTTAAATATATGGAGTTTAAATTACTGACAGCTCTGGATTTTTTGGAAAACTTTTAAATCTATGCATTTTTTAATTTTGTCTATCTTAACTTTCAGACTGCAAATGGATACATATTATTTTTCAATCTTATTTCTGCAAGAGACAAATACCTGTATGAGCCAGTCTATCCCAAGTAAGTTTTGCTGTAAATCTTTTATTTGTTCCACTGTACAGGGCTACATGTATAATACCACAGAAACAAATTTCTAGTTGCACAATAGGAATTTTCTTTTATTTTTCTTCCCGTCCCTCTCTGATCTTTTTCAGTACTTCAGTACTTTAACATTTTGCCAAAAATATTATTTTTGATCCAGAAAACTATTCATATGGAAAAATATAGGGAAAGAAAAAGAAATCGGCTTTTTGTATGACATAAAATATGGATATATTAGTAATGTGTATAGTATACATGTCAATTTTTTTTACTCCATAATATGAAAAATTAAATCCTGTTTTAACAGCAGGAGCTTGAAAATTCTATTGCATAAGTGTAAATAAGAAAAAATACATATCGGGATCAGTTGTCTAGAGAAAGGATGGACAGGTCTTAAAGTGTATTCAGAAGTTGGTGGTGGTTTCTTGGAAGTGGTTTGTTGGTTTGGTGTATTGGAAGTGGTTTGTTGTTGGCAGAGGTTTGTTGTTCAGTGTATTCTGAAGTGTAATGCAAATTAACCAACACCTAGTTACCCCCAATAATTGTCATGTTAACACTTCATATGAAGTGTTACATTGTAATAAAGCTTTGCTTTCAAAGCTATGATGACCTTTGATGGCATAGAAATGATACTAAGCCACTATCTTGAATTAACTGCATCTAAGGCAAATTAATTAATTTGGGGATATATAAAACTCCTCAGTTTGGAATAGTTCAGGAGAACTTTGGAACATTCTGTAATTCTTCCACATCAGACTAAACTTTTTCCAGGATCATGCTGTGCCAGGGATGATCTGTAGTTGAAATGGAAGATTTTTAAAGAGTTTTCCAGAATTGTTTATGAAGCAGTGAGCTCTTCAGCATCCTTATAATGAAATCTTAGTTGAACATTTTAATATTTACCACTTGGTTCCTTAATTTGTGTATAAACAACAAGTGAAGTTTTAGAACTCAATCTGCATTTTAAAAAAACAATTTCATTTAATAAAAATCTGCCATTGTATTTTGATCATTTTGTTTTAACTTCATTTTAATAAACAGAATTCTATTAATTTTCTTCTTTCACTATGTTAAGATATTAGCTAATTTTCAGGGAAGTAAGCTACCATAAATAATGTGAGAATGTAACAACTCCAAATATTCCTTTTCCTAATATCAAATTGTATCCTGTGATTTTGAAAAATAGTTTTCAGCCCAAAATTAAATACTTTATGCTTTTGATTAAAACTTTACTCAACTTTAGAAAGTCTTCTTATCACTGCTGCTTCTAATGATAATACTGTCAATATTGGAGGAAAAACTTGTAAATCTATTATGAAAAAATGTCAATAATTTCATTCTTTGGAAATGCTATATGTGAAATATACAAAGTTATGTTTATGATATGTTTATGACAGATACATATTTAGTTCAGAAATGCTTGATAGATAAATAGATTTCTAAGAGTATTATAAAACGTTTTTGCTGACAGTCTCTCATATCTCCTTATAATAGAATTATAATTTCTATACAATGTATGCATATAAAGGATTTTATATGAAATCACTTGTTGCTTTTGCTTTCTGTCATTCATGTGTTCTTTAGGTGATCTTCCTTTTCATTTCTCCTAATTTTTAGACATCTATGGTAAGAGACTGCAGAAATATAGCTCTTGTTGATGTTGCAACATAGATGAAACATTCTTTCCTGCTTCTGTCACCAACTTACATTCAGAGTTTAAAGGTCAAAGCTATTGATGTACTAAAATAAGTTCACAAGGCTATTTTGTGTATCTGAGTATTTTAAATGGGTGTGATCATCTTTTATTTTTCAACTTTTTCAGTGGCTATCAACAAAGAAAAAAGAGTAAAGTGGAGCCATTCCTGTTAAAGGATTTAGCATGGGATTGAATTCCAGCTTGATTCCCCATGACCAATGATGGTTAACCTTTTTTTAAAGGTGTGCCAAAACTATGTGCATGTGCGGTATAGCACACACATGCCCTAAAGTGCATGCCTACCCATCTGCACATGGGCAAGAAACCCCCCCCCCCTACCATGCATGCACAAGCGATCCCTGTGCATGTGAGTTAGATTTTTGCCCTCCCCAGGTTCCGGAGGCTTTCCTGAAGCCTGGGGAGGACGAAAATGGCCTCCCAATGGCCCAAGGGGAACTTTGGGAACTAACTTCTGGTTTGCCCATTGGGCCATTTTTCACCCTCCCCAGGCTTCATTTTCGGCCTTCTGGAGGACTGAGGGAGGTTGTTTTGCCCTCCCCAGGCTTCAAGAAAGGTCATTTTGCCCTCCCCAGGCTTCAAGAAAGGGCTGAGGGAGGTCATTTTGCCCTCCACAGACTTCAGGAAAGTTTCTGGAGCCTGGGGAGGGCAAAATGACCTTTCTTGAAGCCTGGGGAGGGCAAAACAACCTCCCTCAGTCCTCCAGAAGGCCGAAAATGAAGCCTGGGG